AGGCGGCTTACGGTGGAGTAGGGCCTCCAGGCACTTACTGCAGAGATAAAATGCTTTCTAACACTTATCCAAGCAGAACAGAGGTGAGGGTCAGAGAGAGGCCTGTCTACTGGCATGCCTGAGAAGCAGTTGTCCTGATCAAAGAACTGTATCCTGAGTCATTTCTGATCCTGAATTGTAACTTGTTACATCCCTAGTAATAAAGTCCATAATCGTGGAGTATTGTCTGTGAGTTGTGTGGCCACTGCAATGAATTACTGAACCTAGCAGAGAAGTAGAGAGTGCCATGGGAGGGACAGCTGATGTCAGAATTGGTAAAAAGACTGGAGGGTGGGGATATGTTTGACTTCCACCTCATAGGGATCAGTCTTGGGATGATGTTGATGGTGATTCTCCTCCCCCTCTGTCAGAGCACGCTACTTCCCCATTATCTCTCTTAACCTATTGTCATCATTGGTCCACATCCAGGACTCTTACTCTATAGCGGAGAAGCTAAGCAATTTTCTTTTATCCTCCACCCTAGGCATATTCAGACCATGTGCTGCCACATATCCAGGAGTTCCAACGTTAAAAGCTTGAGAGAGATGCTCCTGATTTTAATAGAGCCCTTGTCCTTCATCAACAAAAGATCAGAGCTTGCCAAACCAGCAGAACTGGCTTAGCTGATGAAGCAAACATAATGCACTAATAACTTGAAGAAACTCCTCATGCTACATAGGCTTCCAATGCAGAAGGAATAACTTGCATTAAGGGAAAACAAACACGCATAGGACAGTGTAGGACAAAGGCTCCTCTCTCCCCAGAACCCGGTCAGAGAACTAAAGCCGTTTAAAATTTGTGTTTGACAATGGTGATATTGGAAGTCAGCCTGTACTACTTGGTCAGGCCACTGAAAAAGCCCAAGCAATCTTCAGATTTCTTACTTTGACCCCCTTCATACTCACAGTAGTTTCCTTCATGTCTCTACCCAACTGTCGTAACAGTCTCTTCCAAAACGTTCACTGACCACACTGAGAAAGACAGCAAAAGACACCATTCTAGCCTCAGAAATCAGTCTTAATTTTCCTTTTTGTAGAAACTTTAGTGCTCTTTCATTCAGCAAATATTTATTGAACATCTACTTATTATTATATCTTAAGTGTACACTAGGGAATAAGGTGTAAAGGATTTGTCACCTTACTACTTTCTCAGGAACTAAAACTCTTCCTTCACTTCTACTATGAGTTCTAGCTCCTTACCCTTTGCTCCAGCCACTTATAAGAAACTTTCCCTAAGGCATTTGGGGGTGGGGGACAGGGAGGCCAAGAGAAAACTGCCTAAATCCTACTGCTTAGAAGTCACTTTTGAAGCTGATCTTTAAAATAATAAAACGCCCACTCAACAGTTTTGCATAACACATCCAGTAAAGTTGCAAACAAAAAGCCAGCATGTGGCTCTACTGGCCCAACAGTGATCCTGGGACCACCAATCAACTGAAGTGCTTGAAAAAATACAAGTTTCCAGATCCCAACTCACCTCTGTTGATTTAGAATCTTAAGGTGGGATCCAGGAATCAGTGATGTGAACAAGCATCTCAGATGATTAAAAACCAACAAAGTCTGAGCTCACAGACCTTTTAAAATAGCAGCATGTTAAAAGAAATTCAGAGACCTAAGGAATTTGGGTAGTTGAGGGGAAAAACTGAAATCTACTCAGATCCTGAGAAAGATCTAGTGCTAAAGTTGCCTCACTACAATTTAAAACAAATTCACATCCTACTCAATCAACTCTATTGCATAAAGCACTGAAAGAGGGCAGAAGGAAGAACTGTGTGGTTTTAGTCTAGTTTCCTGCATGCTACTCACTTGGATTCTAAGAACCAGGAACTAGGGCTTTTAACTGGTTCATTCTAATGTGTTTCCAGGTGATGCTAATGCTGCTGGTTAAGGACCAATTCTGAGAACCACTAGTAGAGTAGTGGGTCTCAAAATTTATTATACATAAGAATCACCTGCAGATCTTGTTAAACTGTAGATTCTGATTCAGTGTATCTGGGGTGGAGGTGCAAATTCTCAGCAGGGGTTCCAGCTGGAACAAACTGGTTTGAAGCCCTGCCAGGACCTCCAGGCTTCTTTTCTCTGACTACTTCACTGCTGCCCAATGTCCTATCCAAGCTGCTTGCCCACATCCATCCATTCACCTGCTACCAATCTAAAGGCCACTATAAATTAACAAAAGCAATCATCTCCCACTAACACATAATGATGTTTTACTACCCATCTTTCATCTTTGGTCCATCTAGTAAGCGTCAAAGAATTGCCGTTACTTTGGTGGATAGGCTAATAACCAAAAGGAGGGCACAGTAACCAGAGATGAATCGTGCCCTTGCCATTAAAAGTTCTGGGCTTTGAGCCTAACATTTCACAGGACAAAACTGACTTAATTTTGTTGAACCCAATTTCAGACTAGGATTTATATAGATGTTGTGCAGTGGGGTAGGTCTGCGGTAAAAGAAGCTTTGGTATTAAGTGTCTTGTCTTGAAACAAGTCTAGAAATAATCTAGAAACAACTTTGGATCGATTTACTCAAAGTTTATCAAATATCCTAACTTGCGAGGGTGGGGCAATGTTAACAGGACAAGAAATAACCCCCTTTAGCTAGGGTTGTCTATGTCACATTGATTTCAGGAGTCCAGAAGTGAAGTGCTGGCCCTATTCCAATTCTCAGCCCAAATCCAAATCATCTGTGAGAAGACAGTTTTTACATCACAAAACTAATAGTAATGTATTATTAATATTACAGCCAATACTAAGGCCATTGCTCAGTATTAATCCGTTTGAATAAACAAGAAGTCAAATAATCTCAAGGCTCTGATCAGTCTATCCCTCCAACTCAGATGTTCATTTAAATCACCTGCCATGGGTTTCAACAATAGAACAATGTGTTGCATTTGTTTCTCAAAAGGTTTAAAAAAAAAAAAAAAAAACCTCTTCTCAGAAAAGTGAAACTACACCTGTCCTTGAGAATCAAAGTGGGAGGGGTCAGTTCTCCCATGTCAGAAACCTATTTTGCCTTAATAGCAAAAGTAAAATCCACTAACAATTAAGCAGGCTAATTTGGAAAGCTCAGGCAGATGCTAGCAATGCTGACAAGCTGAAAGGCTCCTTGGTATCCTGTTCATATCGTTTAGTTGTTGGGAATTTCCACTCCTGAGTTTGTTGGGCTTTGCTAGTTTTAAGAGCCAAACACCTTCTAATGGCTTCCAATTTATAGGTTTCTGGGATCCACAGGTCCATCTCTAACAGGAAAGTAGAGAAAACAATAATAGCAAGATTCTGTATCCCTGTCATCCCAAATCCTTTCTGAGCTTCCCTACAGACTTAAGAGATGAAACCAATTCAAAAGGTAAATTCTAAGCGCTTTTTCTAATTCACTGTAGGGTTAGACTGTCTGGTCTGGGTTAGCAGCTCTGGAATGAGCTAATTATAGTGTCCCCTATTCTGCCAAAACACTATCTAGAACTTGCTTCATTTCCCAAGAGGCTTCCTTTCCCTGTTCCCTGGCAGCCAGAGAAGCAACGGCCAAATAAGACAAGTAACACCCGAATGACCAGCCTCCACCTTGCTGCTGGATGCCTGGAATAACTCCAAGGTAAATCCTATAGGTTTACCTTGTCTCAGCCAACCACGCAAGATAACACACAGCAAGCCAAAAATATTTTACAACTTTCCTTTGCTTCAGGTGTTGGCAGCTGTAATCTATCTGCAGAAGAGAAAGTATAAATCCTTTGCAGAAGTCAAGGTCATCACTGCTAGGCTTAGAGGGCTGGTTCCCTCAGCACAGCAGTTTCTGTTTAAAAGAACCAAGTTACCCAGAGCCAACGAAACCAACCAAACCCACTGGCATCCAGTGATTCCAACTCATAGCGACCCCACAGGGTTTCCAAGACCGTAGATCTCTACAGAAGCACACTGCTACTGGTGGTTTCGAACCGCCAATCTGTCGGTTACCAGTTGATTGCTTTAACTACTGCGCCACCAGTGCTCCTTACCCACAGCCAACAGTACCGGCAATCTGAAAACTGGCAATAAATAACTGGAACAGTATTCTTGTGATCCAAAAGGCAACAAATGTCAATTAAAGGGTCCCAAAGAATGAGAGGAAGTTCTCCTGGGTAGAGCAGACTTAATATCAGCAGCAAAACCTCAGTGAGTAAGTAGTAGGATTGGTCATGTGACCTTGGCTATACTATCTCCTGAGTATCTTCACTTATTGGCCTCCAGTTTGGGGAGAACACCCTTTCTGATTCCTTCTCCAATCATATGCGATAATCATGCACGAGGTTTTACAGAATCATTCCACCCCACCCAAGCTCCTCCTATATATAAAGTAAGTCCGATAGTCCCAAGGACAAACAGCACCTGAAAGTCCCACCTCTCTAGCAGGAACTACTACGGCTTGGTCACTAAAGGTTTAAATAATGGGGTTGGAAGAGAAGAAACAGGGAGTTCAAGCACTGACAAGGCTCTCCCTATAAGGCAAAAGCCGAAATTAGCCACTGCTCCAACTCTGCCCCAAGGACAGAGTGAGCACATCTGTTCACCCCTGCCACCCCTCTTACCCCGACCCCTCCTCCAAACGAGCTCTTTATCAAACTCCACTGGAACACAACACCTCTTTTCTTTATTGGTGACACCGGTCTTGGCTCTTCCTTTTTCCTAGGCCATGCATCGCCCTCTTCCACCCTAGACACGTGAGGTGATAGGAGGGTCCGGGCGCCCCACCTGCCTGGGGCCGCATGCCAGAGGTGGACAGCCCACTGCACACCCAGGAGCTGGAAGGCCAGCGCAGCACGTGGCCTCGAGAGCTCCACGCAGGGCTGGCTGCCAGACAAGCGTTCGGTCCCTTTAAGCCGCGCAGGAGTGCGTAGGGATGGGAGAGGAAGACCCTGGCGCGCGAGGGTCTGGCCTTCGCCTCAGCCCCACCCTGGGACGGCGCCCTCCCTCCCTTAGTCGCTCACCTTGGCTCCGAAGAACCGGGCGGCCGCAGTGAGTAAAGCCATGGCGAGCGCACTCGGGGATCTGATGGGTGGGGAGGGAGGGGAGAGAGCTGCGGCAGGAATGGGAACCGCCGCCGCTGCACCAGAGGCCGCGCCAACGGATGGACAAGGTTGAAAATAGGCGGAGGAGGGAAAGGGTTGACGAACCGGCGGCGGTGCCCAGTCTGGGGTCCTCAGCGAGGACCCGCCTACTGCCCCGAGCCGGGTCCCGTCCCTCTCAGGGGACTCATCCGGGGCAAAGCCATTGGTCCGATTTGGAGGAGGGGCGGGGCCTAAGCCGTTGTCGGCGGTTGTGGCGGAGAGGATTGGACCGCCTGGTTAGGCTAATTAAGGGTAAGGGTGGAGGCGGGGGATCTTGTAGGTGGCTACGTATGTGCCTGAGAACTCAGTTAACTTCCTTTTTCGGCTTTTTCCCTTACCCTTAACACATTTGAGGTTAATTCTAAGCTTAGCATTAGCGAAAAAGCCCCAGGATCTTGATCTTTGAAGGTTCTCGGGAGTCAATCCCTTAATCTATTATTGCCTGTTCCTCCTATCCCCTTGGCATGCTCTTCTGATTTTGGTTAATGACTTCATGGCTATGGAGATGACATCATGTGGACAGACTGTGATTGCCAGAGTTAGCCGCTTGGTAGAGATCATTTGAGGTCAGCAGGGGCCATGTTGTTACAGCTACTAACAGACCTCAATGTGTGGAGAATGGGAGCAAAGGCAGGAGCCTGAATATCTAGTGCTCTTTGTGCGCTGTCAGGTCTGTGTCTAATGCCAGGAAATCCAAGTCTTAAAAATGCCCCCTTAGAGCCAACACACACACAAGGAAATGCTTCCAATCACTAGCCATCGGAGAAACGCAATGAGATACCATCTCACCCCCGGCATTACTGGCACAAATCAAAAACACTGGAAGTAATGAATGTTGGAGAGGCTTCGAGGAGATCGGAACTCTTATGCAGTGCTGGTGGGAATGCATGATGATACAACCATTTTCGAAAATGATATGGCGCTTCCTTAGAAAGCTAGAAATAGAAATACCATACGATCCAGCAATCCCACTCCTAGGAATATATCCTAGAGAAAAAAGAGCTGTCACACAAGTAGACATATGCACACCCAGGTTCACTGCAGCATTGTTCACAATACCAAAAAGACGGAAACAACCTAGATGCCCATCAACAGATGAATGGATAAACAAACTACGGTACATACACATAATGGAGTATTATGCAAAGATAAAGAACAATGATCAATCCGTGAAGCATCTCATAACATGGATGAAACTGGAGGACATTATGCTAAGTGTAATAAGTCAATCACGAAAGGACAAATATTGTATGAGACCTCTATTGTAAAAACTCATGAAAAAGTAACAATGTTTGTCGGTTACCAGGGATGGGAGGGGAGAATACTAAATAGACAACAGATAAGTGGTAACTCTGGTGAAGGGTAAGACAGTACATAATACTGGGGAAGCCAGCACAACTTGTACCAGGAAAGGTCATGGAAGCTCCATAGACACATCCAAACTCCCTGAGGGACTGAATTGCTGGGTGGAGGGCTGTGGGGATCATGGTCTCCGGGAACATCTAGCTCAACTAGCATAACACAGTTTCTAAAGACAATGCTCTACATTCTACCTTGGTGAGCAGCGTCTGGGGTCTTAAGAGCCTGTGAGCAGCCATCTAAGATACTCCATTGGTCTCATCCCTTCAGGAGCAAGAGAGAATGAAGAGAACAGGATACAAGGAAAAGATTAGTCCGAAGGACTAATTGTCCACAGCTACCACGGCCTCTACGAGGCTGAGTCCAGTACAGCTAGATTGTGCCTGGCTACCACCACTGACTGCTCTGACCGGGATCACAACAGAGGGTTCTGGACAGAGCTGGAAAAGGATGTAGAACAAAATTCTAACACACAAAAAAAGATTAGATTTACTGGCCTGACAGAGACTGGAGAAACCCTGAGAGTAACGCCCCCAGACACCCTTTTAGCTCAGTGGTGAAGTCACTCCCAAGGTTGACCGTTCAGCCAGGGATTGGACAGCCCCATAAAACTAAACAGGCCTAATGAGGCACAGCAGTCCAGGGACAAGGACTAGAAGGCAAGAGGGGACAGGAAAGCTGGTGATAAGGAACCCAAGGTTGAGTAAGTACAGTGTTGACGTGTCGTGGGTTTGTTAACCATTGTCATAGGGCAATATGTGTACTAACCGCTTAATGAGAAACTATTTTCTGTAAATCTTCATCTAAAATACAAAAAAAAAAGAATTATCCACGTGAGATCAAATTGACAACAGTGACTCAAAAGGTCTGATAGGAAGCCTAGGGGAGGGTGAGTTGAAGACAATGGTGATGGAATAATTTGGAAAAGGATAGTGAGAATAGCAGCACAACTGGAAGAATGTAATCGATGTCACTGAATTGTACATGTAGAAATTTTTGAAATGGTGTATCTTTGGCTATGTATATTTTCACTAAAGAAAAAAAAAAAGGTCCTCCAAGGTCAAGAAGGGAGAGTGTTAACATGTCGTGGGGTTGTTAACCAATGTCATAAAATAATACGAGAAACTACTTGCTCTGTAAACCTTCACCTAAAGTACAATTAAAAAAAAAAAAAAAAGCCCCCTTAATATGAAAGCTTCCCAGCACAGGCCAGAGCCTCTGAGTCATGGGCATTAGACTCACTGCTACTCCAGTCACACACCCACAGTCACAGCCAGACCACCCCACATCTAACCACAAGATCTGGAGCTGCAGATCAACCCCTATCCAAGATCAGGCATGAGACACCCTGTCTTTGTCACATCACTTCCACAGGATCTTTGGGCACCTTCTCCTACTTGGCTGTGTTATGTACTCACTTATCCTGTGCTCTCCAGAGACCACTGAATGACCTATGACACTAAAGTGATTTTCCACACCACCCTCTAACCTCTGGGGTGGACAAGACCTTAGGACCTTTCCACCTCCCTAAACCTGTCACTGTGATTGACCCAGGGGCAAAGGGGAATTTATAGGACCAAGCCTCAATTGAACAGTCCCTTTATCTACTTACATAACATTAACAAGGTTCAGAGGTCACAGTACCCATGTAAGTCAGGTTTTGGTAGACCTAGTTTATAGCTTGGACTTGAAAAAAAAAAGAAAGCTTTCATTTTATCTTCCCAAGTTTCCTCATATCCAGGCTCACACCTACCAACTAAAGCTCCTCTGGCTTGGGGATCGGATAGGTGGGTACTAGGAAAGAACTTCATAAAGAGAAGCCAAGCAGTGCCCAGAGGAAGCACTGATCTCAGCTACCTCCTCGTGACTTCAAAACTCTAATGATCAATATTTGCTCCCAATTTAGCATCTCACAGAGATTTCCTCATAATCCTGGAATAGTCTGACCTAACTCCTTCCCTCTGGTTAATTATCTACAGACACTAGCCAGCAGACCAGAGGACTGAACTTCAGTGCCCCAAGAGACAGGAGGTGGCATCAGGGTGAGGCTACCAAAGGGGCAAGTATTGGGTGGCCTATAAGGATAACCTGTTTTGGAGCTCTAAGTCATTGGAGGAAGGGTAGGGAACAGCAGTGCTCTAAGCCCCTTGACACAGGGTCCTGGAGCCTAGTGTCATGAAGACATCTATGGGCTTTTTAAAGTTGTCCGCTCCTGATATCCACTGCTTTAAGGCCATTGGGAAAGCCCAGGGACCAAAGGGGCTAAATGAGATCTCCCAGGAGCTGGCTTAGAATCTCTTTCTGAATACGGATGAGACCTAGAGGTGGGGAGAAAATGGGGAAAGACTGGCATGAGTAAAGCAGCCAAGTGAGCTCTAGGTCTAAATACAACTAAGTGCCTCCGAACTGGAAGGGGCAAGAGAGAGAAGGCCGAGTACTGAGGTCACCTTGACTTTGGGAGGACCTTTTTAAAATGGACAGAGGCAATGGTGCCCTCTTGTGGCCAAGGGCAAGTAGGAGAAGTAGCTAAATGTAAACCCTCAACTGTCCACAGGCAGCCCTGGTGGTACAGTGGTTAAGCATTCTGCTGCTAATCAAAAGGTTGGCAGTTGGAATCCACCAGCTGCTCCTTAGCAACCCTATGGGGCAGTTCTACTCTGTCCTATAGGGTTGCTATGAGAATCGCCTTGACGGCAATGAGTTTGTTTTTTTTTAAACTGTTCACATAGGAGCCCAGATTATGCACTTGTTAAAGCGCTCAGTTGCTAAGTGAAAGGTCATTGGTTTGAACCCACCAGCCACTCCACTGGCAAAGATGCGGCAGTCTGCTTCTATAAAGATTACAGCCTTGGAAACCCTATGGGGCAGTTCTACTCCATCCTATGGGGTCGCTACGAGTCGGAATAGCCTTGACAGCAGTGGGTTTGGTTTTTTGGCTTGGTAAACTGTCCATACCAGTAACCTAAACACCTGTATTTAATAGCTTAAAAAAATTTATTGAGTACTTCGTGTTTCCAGATACTACCTAAATGTGGCATATCTTTATTAATCCGCACAGTACTTCTAAGGGATGTAGGATCTTTACTTTAAAAAGGTAGAAACCAAGGCTTAGATAAAGTATCCTGCCCAGGGTCACATAGCTCATAATTGGCATTACAAGAATTCAGACTGAGGTCTGCCTCACTCCAGAGCCTATATCTTAACTACTAAGCTGTACTTTTTATAAGATGATGGACTGTGACTTATCATCTGCAACTCAGAAAAGAGGTTTTGGAGTCATTGTCTCCTGGGGACATCAGCTTAATATTTTGCTATATTTAAAGATATTTAAAAAGATAAGGAACATATAGTCTTGTTGTTAGGTGCCGTCGAGTTGGTTCCAACTCATAGTGACCCTATGTACAAAACAAAAACACTGCCTGGTCCTGCGCCATCCTCACAATTTTTGCTATGTTTGAGCCTGTTGTTGCAGCTACTATGTCAGTCCATCTCATTGAGGGTCTTCCTCTTTACCACTGACCCTCTACTTTACCAAGCATGATGTCCTTCTCCAGGGACTGGTCCCTCCTGATAAGATGTCCAAAGTACATAAGACAGTCTCGCCATCCTCCCTTCTAAGGAGCATTCTGGCTGTACTTGTTCCAAAACTATAGTCTTACTCATCTGTAAAACCTTTATACACCCATACCTGAAATACATGATAAATGGTGACCCCTAGAATGCATAAAGAAGGGGACTTTTTTCATGATTAGCACCTAAAATGACCAGACGGATAGAATGGGCTTCTTAAACAACCAGTCTGGAAACACAGCTGAAGAGGATATAGTTCTTCACTACAGAATACTAGAATTAGAGGGCGTGCCTTCAAGCTTGGAGGGAGTTTTCAAAGAAAAGTACTACTTTATACAGCCACTGGAGACCACATGGAGACTCCAGTACATGAAGTAAGGTGTAGCAGAAAGACCACTGGCCTAGAAATAAGATGATCACTGCGGTTGAAGTTTTAGCTCCCTGCTGACTAACAAGAAACTTGACCTCTCTGAGCTTAGTTTCTTCATCTGTAAAATAGGAATGTTGTTGTTAGTTGCTGTAGAGTTGATTTTGACTCACGGCAACCCATGTGTGCAGAGTAGAACTACTCCATAAGGCTGTGACCTTTCAGGAGCAGATAGCAAGGCCTGTCTTCCGAGGCATCTCGGTGGGTTCAAACCAGGAGCAGATTATCCCATAGGCAAGGTAAGCACGGTGCTTACTTTGCTTACCAGATCATCTGTAGTGAACAATTTCATGTGAGTTTCACCACAACAAAGATGTGAAATTGTTCACTACGGATCAGTAAGTAAGCACAAGTAAGCCCATGCTTACCTTGTTTACTGGGTCATCCACCCATCAGGGACTGTAAATTTGAAAAGAGGCTTTGATTCTGTAGGAAGGTGCTACAGGTGCCAGATGCCAGCCATACCTAGAAGCAGAATCTTTGATATGGTGAAAAAATGTGAAATTGTTCACTACAGATGATCTGGTAAGCAATGTAACCACCGTGCTTACCTTGCCTATTGGATCATCCACCTGTTTCTCACCGCCAACATTTTGGGTAGTAGCGAATTGCTTAACCATTTTTGCATCCCCCCCCGCCCGCCAAAAAAAACCCACCACTGCTGTCAAGTCAATCCGACTCATAGTGAGGCAAATGGATAGAAGTAGAACTGCCCAATAGGGTTTCCAAGGCTGTAAATCTTTACGGAAGCAGACTGCCACATCTCTCTCCCACGGAGTGGCTGGTGGGTTTGAACCACCAACCTTTTGGTTAACAGCCTAGTGCTTTAACCACCACGCCACCAGGGCTCCATCCAGAGATCTACAATAGAAATAGTATCTATTTATTAGAGTGGTAAAGATTAAACGACAACGTGTATGTGCTTGCTATACTGGTATTCAACATATATTAGTTTCCTTGCTGTTTATCCCTGTCTTATATTGAAAAGAATTTTGCCCCGTGGCATAATGGTTAAGAGCTACAGCTGCTAACCAAAAGGTCGGCAGTTCAAATCCACCAGGTGCTCCTTGGGAACGCTACGGGGCAGTTCTACTCTGTCCTATAGGGTCGCTATGAATCAGAATTGACTTGATGGCGACAGGTTTGGTTTTTGACTTTGTGAATCTTTTTTAAACAGCAAAAAAATCCTCTAAAATTTATTTTTAAAAGACTAGATTAACATGTAATATTGTCCTTGGGAATGTTTATTCCAAGGCCTAACATTTTACTGATAAACTGATTTAGAAGACATCTAAAGTTTAAGGTGTAACCAAATTTGCAAGGTTAAGAGTATATGCTCTACTAAATACTGAGAGAGAGGATAACTTCCACCCTTTCTTATGGAGGCCACACCCCTACATATCAATGACAGACTCTCAGCCTGGAGAGTTCTTAATAGCTGTTCCCTGACACACTAGTGAGGTACATCACAAGTAATTTGTTACCGATTAACATTCATTTTATTAAAATTTGTGAATAATCTGCACTTTTATAAATTAAACAGTTTCAAGTTCCCTATAAGAGTACACTTAAACTTCTGATAAGCTTTTGATGGAAGAGAAAGGAGTGTTTAGATGCCAAGCAGGCAATGGACAGATCCCTGGGTATACTCAAAGGGGTATGAAGCATGTGAACATTACTCAAGTGCATCACAAAAGGAAAAAACAAGTTAATAACAGCTGGTCTGGAAAACTGATTTGACACGATACAGCATTTCTTATGGTTGATGAGAGAAGATCCACCAGGCCCTGAGTTTAGTTGTCAGCTAGCTTCAGAATGCTTGCTCTGAGCTAGGTAATATGCTAGATTTCATAGGGATTTGTGGTACAAGAAAGCTTTATTGAAGACATTCATTCTGTGTGCCATGCTTAGTGCAAGCTATTATTAAGAGAAAAAGGTAGAAGCTACTCTACAGTTATAACAGATAAAGATTGGCACTTGGGAAAGTTAGCTTATAAATCCAGTTTTGCCACTAAATATGGAACTCTAGGACCTGTGGCTTCTCCGAGCCTGTCTCTTCAACTGTAAAATGGGCAGAGGTGAACCAGATGACCTTCATGGTCCCTTTAGATTCTAAAATTCAGTAATTTAAAAAGTCTTTGAAATGTCTATTCAGATGTTCTCTCCCAGAGGCATTCCTGGGACAGACATAGTCTATTGCAAACGCTGAGACAGCCATACCTCAGCACCAGGGTGTTTAAGGAACTCCCAAAAGAAGGTATCCTTTCGGTTTTGATTCCTATGTCCCAGTACAGGTTCTCTACACACACAAAGTGGAACAGACTTATAGTCCAGACTGACAATGGGCTACTGATAGAGATAAGAAAGACATACTTCATCGTTGCCATTGGCATCAAATTGAAAAGCTTAGGCCAGTAAGCAAGGCCTTTCATTAAATAACATTCCTTACCTCATCTCTCCCTATCCGATAAAGCCCTTACTTTCCAGCTGAGTTGGTCACATCCATTTTCCCCTTCCTGTCTCTGCTCTTGCTGTTCCCTACATCTGGAAGGGCAGGAAGGGAAGAATAATGCAGGTCCATTATTTCCTTGAAAGTCAAGCCCTATCTTACTTTATGTTTCATCAGCATGAATATAGGGAATTTCTAGAATCCTGTTATTACCTTGGTTCCCTTGGTTATTCAGACGTTCCCCTTCTCTCCACAGTTAGCACTAAATACAGTGTATTAAGTAGGCACTGAATAAATGCTTATCTAGTTTATGAATGAAGTAGGAATCTAGGAAGATAGAAGAATTAAAGGTTCAGGCTCCTCCTACTTTTGTTCTACACCAACCCAAAAGCTCCTCCTTCCTCTCTCTTTTCTCTCCTGTCTAGAATACCTATCTTCAAGTCTAATAACGTAAGGGTCAGTTCAGGCATGAAAAGACAAAACAGTTTGTACTTTTGGTTTCATATTTTTCCAGTTCATTTCAGTAAAAACATAATATAAAAGGCATTGCCACCCTTTTCCCCTCCCGGGGGTGATCCATCAAGCCTGTCCATCTGGGCCGCTCCAGTGGTTCATAGCTCATCATGAGATATGTGCAGGGCATGGTCGCATAGATCTAAAAACAGCACACAACAATGTGAAGGAAAATGCCACTCTTATACTGATGTATGCCACTATCAAGAAAATACCCAAAACTATCTGGCACACCAACCACCATTCTTCAGACATATGTTTGCAAATGAGATAACATCCTCATCACCCCTCTTATATATTAGGTCAGGGAGCGACAAATTCTGAAAGCTGACAGGAAGAGAATAGAGAGGACTAACCCAAGTCCTTAAGCGAAGGGAAATGGAAGCCAACCCTTGGGCCTATATCATAGAGTTTCCGGGGGACGACGGAACATGCCAGGTTCTACAGGACTGTGAGTACAAGAGGTAAAGTAGGGGTAGCTCACCTGTTCGCTTACTACAAAGTTTGTCTTTAACATTGTCAGCCTCTCGGGAAAAGAATTCAATGAGCTCATCCTCATATTCCTCCACGATGCTCTCACACTGCCAATCCAAGGGAGAAATGAGTGAGACAGGACAGCAGGAAGAGGCCTCTTGCCTTAGCCTCCAGAGAGGAGCACAGGGACATTAACCCAGCTTTCTACTTGGGCCCTCCAACAACCCCCTAACTCCAAAAGCCAGCTACCCACTCCCATAGCTCACCGCAAACTTGAGGGTGCCACTGATGTCTGAATCAATTCGGATGCCCTGTAGGTCCAGCTCACTGGATTCTCCACTCCGGCCCACTACACGTACGTAGTTCTTGCGGTGGGTGGAAGGGTCAATCTGTTCCCCATATTCCTTCATTCGGTCACACACCTCTTCTAGCAGCTCTGTGAGGTGGGCCTCTGAGCGGGCATAAGGCACCTAGAAATGTCCTCAGCCTTGGGTCACTATCTTCTATCTTTATACATAAGTAGTTTATGCCCTTACTTTCCTTCCAAATCTAGCTCAACTAACCTATTCTAAAAAGCCTTCCCTAATTAAAAACAGTATAGGTTATATACTTTCAAAGTAGTTTCAAATATATGATCCTAAGAAAAAAAACAAGTATCATTAGCTCCAAATTATAGATCAAAAGAGATCTCTTTGATTAACTCTAGTCAACTATGTGCTCTGTTAGGTAATATTATTTCTTTGTTTTAAAATGAAGCCAATACCTGCCCTCATAAGAGAACATTATAGGTAGTGTAGGCTCTGAGGATAATAAGCACTTTACAACCTTTATATATTGTTCACTAACTATAGCTCTGTGTGTGTGTGTGTGTGTGTGTTGCTTCAAACTAAAATAAACTTCCTAATTACAAGAATAGACCTTCTATTTCTTTTTTGAATGACTGTTGAAGTGTAACATTGCCAGAACGAGAACATGGTGAGTCATATGGATTAAGTACATGGAGAAGGGGACTGTCTACCAATAACCTTTATAACAGAAGCAAAAGTATTAAGTTTTGGAGCCGGGAAACAAGTGCATAAGGAATAGGCCTCTAGCCTCTTCCAAATGAGACAGAGCCTGATCTTTTAGCTAGCTCTCTGGATCAATATTTTCTTCATTTCTATTAAATCAAGGTCTTTTCTAATTAGTTGAATTCTCATTCACAGCCAGGGTGAGCTACTTTATTTGGGGGAACAGTTACCTCCACCACTGACTGGCTGCCATCTGGATTGATCCGGAAAGATCCCATCTGAATGGTCTTCTTGGGATCCACTTGAGCAATTTCCCACTCCAGTTCATCCACCAGAGCCCTGCAAGCTGGTGCAAGAAGAGAGAATGGGGAGAGAGTGAAGAAGAGTGGGGGCTGGGATCAACTCTGGAATTCTTATCCAGCCTTCTCCCAGTCCTTGGATCTAATGTCCTTCTCAAGGCTCTATCTTCCTCACCAGGCTTCCTCCCACTTCTTCTTGTTGTGCCTTTACCTCCACAGTGTAGATCCTGGCTCCTCCGAGCCCAGGCAGTTCCCAGCAGGGCCCCTAGAAGCAGGGCCAGCCAATCCCAGCCTTTCATCTTCAGAGTAACGGGATCGCTCCACCTGGGTTTGAGTGGGAATAATACATAGATGGTGTGAAAAGTAACTCCATTTTCTTCCCGTCCCCCTCGCAACCCAATCTCAAGACCTTCAAAGGCGTCAATGTGACTCCAGCTCTACTTTCCAGAAATGACCCGAACACAAAGGGCCTCCATTCCCCCGGGTGGTGAGCGGGGGCAGGGCTCAGCCCCAGAAACTGTCTACAGGTGAGGCTCTAGATGTTGTACTTCACAATCGGGTGTCTAGGGCTCACAGGGCTATGTGGCAGCTACAGGATGGAGGCTCTAGATGTTGTCCTTCACAATCGGGTGTCTAGGGCTCACAGGGCTATGTGGCAGCTACAGGATGGAGGCTGACGATTAACTGAGGATGCCATGCACAGAGGAGCTGCAGGCGAGGGGCCTTCAGTCAGGCCAAGACCGGGTGAGGCAGCGAGGTGGGCGGCCTGCAAGGAGCGCACTCAGCAACTAGGGCCCATTTGGACCCGTCACTGAAGAATACTGCATCACCCTCCTGCAGCCTGTAAATTATCCCCGTGCGGACCAGCCTCCTTTCTAAGGACTCTGCCATGGCCTTCGCTCCAGTCCATCCCCAAGCCCCAGCGCCAGCGCCTCCACCACCGCATTGGTCCCACCTCTGCTCCCAGGGCCGCCGCCGTGACCCAGGCGCTGGAAGACCGTCGGACTCCCACTGTAGCCTTGCAGGCCCCCGACTCTATACCTTGTTGCGGGGTTGGGGGTGGGAGTGGGAAGGGGCTGTCCTGGCCTCTCCAGAACGCTAAAGCGCTTTCCAGGCACGGGGTGCCCCGGAGGCCGCCTGTCCCAGCTCCCCGCACACTAACCGCGCGCCTAAGCAGCGCTCTGGTGCGCTGCCGTGCGAGCCCCACTCCAGACTGATCCAAACCCAGCCCTCCAAATTCTCGCGGGAACAGGCACCATAGAAGCGGCTCGAGGGAGCGAGGACCCCGGCCGCTTTCAGAAGGACCCAGACTTGCGTGGCGAGCAGCTCCACGTGACCACGAGAGGTCAGGCGGCGAGTAGGAGCGGCCCGAAGCGAAGGCAGAGCCTGGACGTGGTGTATGAGGACGTTCAGGCGGAAGTGTGTGTCAGTCTAGGTGAGGTAAGATGTTCAACAGGAAAGGTGCACTGCTAACCAGCGAGAAACCCGGGTTTTAATACCCAGAAGAACTCCATCTCCCAGGAAGCACTGCAGCATCAGACAGCTCTTCTGTCAGTAGCTACAGGCCTTTAGATATCCTGGGACCTGTAGTTTGTCAGCTTCCCGACTGCCCTTAAACAACGGGGAAACCGTACTGTACGTTTTAAAAGAATCCAACCTTAGACGGCTACAGCAAAGACCTAACGTTGTGCAGGAAAAGAGTAATTATATTTCTCCACTATCCTTAACTTTGTACTCCAGAGCTTTACCTTCATTTTAAGGTGAGAGTCTGAACACAACCTTCGTTTTTCCGGTTGTAATAGGGAGCTAACACAAAGAAAACAACAGAGGAAGGCTGGTCAGAGAACCACACACTAGCAGTTCTCTAATTGGATAAATGATAGCCAATAATATTTTTGTTTTTATTTTATAAAACATGCAGTTTAAAACAAAATTTTAAAAATCGTAAGAAAACAAAACTTGGGACAGGAGAAGTGGATGGAAGACAGATGCTTCTCAGCTGTCAGCAGGAAGCCAGCAGCCAAGCTTTGTCCAAGACCCAAAGGCCCTTTTGGCAATGGTACTGTTGGTAACACTGGTTTGCTTGAGCCACTAAGACTCTACATGCTGGGTCCTCCAGATATCCCTCAAACAGAGACTTGAGCAAAGTCCTGAGCTACTGCTGTATCCTCCGTCACTGTCCAGGACTTCAGTCCCCAGCCAGCTGGGAACCAAGGGTTTTGGTTTCAGGATCTTCTTAATTTGGATATTAATTACACAGGATATTTATTAAGATAACAATTACTTTCCCTCTGGGTCAGTTCTAGACTCTGTTTCTGGTCCACTGTCTTGCAAAGGATAAAGAAGGCTTTTCAATCCTTTACAACAACTCTGCTGCATTCCAGTTCTTTTTATAGCACCAACTGTAGACCCAGTGAATCAGGTCTATGTCTGGAAGTGGACAGCGTATAGCCAACCTGGGAAACCATCTCCCAGCTCTGAGGCCACAGAGCACTGGAGGGAGAGGGAGTAGTTTGTTGACAGAAGGTGGGTCAGAGTGCCAGCACTGAGGAGAAGACAGCTGCATCTGTCAAAGACAAAACCAGAAGCATGACCCTTAAGGTATATGAAGAAAAAGTACCTGGGATGTTTCTTATGAGGCAAAATGCAAAGAGAAAAGAGGGTATGGACCTGGTGGTTGTAAGACCTATGGAGAGTTTCAATAATAAAATCTATTTCACTGATTGCTGGCAGGATTAAGCACTTTGTAAACTGTTAAATGCTTTACAGATACAAGGTAGGGATGGTATCACCATCATCATCATTATTGTGGTGGGCATAATCCCCACATATGAAATCAAACCTACCCAGTCCAGTTTCCCCTGTCCCATCCCAAGGCTTACTCTTGGGACTTGTCTGGCCCTCAGGCTCGGGCACTTTCCAGTCCATCTTTCGGCCCTTCTCATAAAGACCCTTGAGCACTTTGTGGAAGGACTCAGGCTCAGTGCCATTCTTGCTTAGCTCCAGATACTTTCGGTACAGCTGAAGGGCTGTGCGGGCATCCTCAATACTGTCATGGGTCTCTCCTTGAATCTTCAGGTCTAGCGGGAAGTAGAGGTGGAAGAGTTTGGGACCTAGCAAAGGGAGGTAGGAACCTGTCCCTCTATCCCCACTCCCAGAAAATAATAAAAAATCTGACTGCCCTTAAGGGAAAGCGTCAAACACCTCTGCACCGTTAACTCTCACCATTAACTCTGGATACTCCCTATTCCACCTTGGCCCCCCAACATGTCTTCCTGCTCTTTATGAGCATCACAGGGGCTTTACAAGGTAGAACTCACCCAGAAAGTACCAAGCAAGAAATCGCAGGGAAATCATTCGTTTTCGGGGCATATGGAACAGGTAAACAGTGTCAAGGACTTGGTCCTTGGGCACCTGGCAAAAATAAAAGAGCGGGAGGCTGAGGGCAGGGGATCCATAATTTCTTGTTCTCCAAAAGCACAATTCTACACCCTGAGGGGCCCACCCTCAAAGACTCTTAAAACAGCTCTGCCTGACTTCATCGGCCTGAGATCAGAAGAAATAGATAGTGCCTGGCTACCACCAATGACCACCCTGATAGGAAACACAACAGAGTCCCCGATGGAGCAGGAGAAAGGTGGGATGCAAAACTCAAATTCTAGTAAAAAGATCAGACTTAATGGTCTGACTGAGACTGGAGGAGCCCCAGAAAGCATGGCCCCCGGACTGTCAACCCAGAACTAAAACAATTCCCGAGGCCAACTCTTCAGACAAAGATTGGACTGGACTGTGGGACATAAAATGATACTTGTGAAGAGTGTGCTGCTTAGCTCAAGTAGATACATGAGACTAAATGGGAAGCTCCTGTCTGGAGGTGAGATGAGAAAGCAGAGAGGGTTAGGATCTGGCTGAATGGACATGGGAAATCAGGGATGGAAAGGAGGAGCGTGCTGTCACCATACAGGGAGAGCAACTGGGGCCACGTAACAATGTAAGTATAAATTTTTGTATGAGACTAACTTGGAATGTAAAGTTTCACTTAAACTACAACAATTAAAGAAAAAAAAAAAGAGCTCTGCCCTAACCATGAGGTTGATGACCCGGAAGTCCTTCTGTAGACCATGACCCACAAACTTGACTCCAATGTCTATCAGAAAACGGAGCTTTAAGTAGGTAGACTTGAGAGTCGTGAGGTGCTTGGAGGAGATCTTGGCATCAAGGTCTCCTGGCTTTATCCCTGAGTATTGAGTCAAGTAATCTACCACCTAGGGATAAAGAAAAGGACAAGTCACCTGGGAAGTGAGGTGCAGAATCTTCCCCTACCCGTCTCCCCCTGGGTTCTAGACCACTTGACAAAAGCACAAGGTCTGCCTCGCACCCTATATCCTAATACCTGCTCCTGTGTAGAGATATAGTCGTCAATGAAGGGGATACCCTCATTGGGTCCTTGGCCCCGAACACAGGTAATCCTTGCTACTGACATCTGGCTTGGTTTAATGGTAGACTTGGTGCCATCACTGCGCAACTCTGCTTCCTCCTATGTGAGAAGAGTTAATAAGGAAATCAAAGAAGTGCCTGCAACTACTAATATCCTCCATGCTCTGCTCCAATGCCCCATTCTTCTGGTCTTGTTTACCTCATTAAGGGTGACAAACTCAGCATCCAGGCCCACCAGGTCCCCAACCTGTGGCATCTCATTCAACATCAGCGGAATGAAGGTAGTATGTGTTTTCCGCTGTTTCCGTGCCAGTGAGGCTTCAGCCAACAGGACACTTGCCTCAATAGGGTTCTTGACTAAAAGAGGAAAGGCAGAGAACAGTTGCCTGGGGATAGGGAAGTAACCAGGGGAGGGAAGCCCAGGTTGACTGGCCAGAGACTCTGGGTGTACACTGTGATCCCTCAATAATCAAAGCATGTAAGTAACAAGATGATGACTGATGAATGGAGCAGGCAGACATATCAAATCAGAAAATTATCAAGAAATAGGCTAAGAAAAAAAACAGGAAAGAGTAAAATTTTCACTGGGGGCCTTAGCTTGGAATATCCAGAAAAATAAATTCACAGAGAAACTTTATGGTTTGAAGGCACCAAAAAGGTACCAAAGAAAGATGAAATCTTCACTTGGTGATAAGAAAGCTTGGAATGGTTAGACTCAAAGTTATAAACTTAGCCATTCTGACGAGACTTCAGTGAGTTGTTCCATCCCCCTTATCCCCCATCCCCCCTTTCCCATGTTGCTCTCAGGATCTCTAGCTTCTAAAGTTAAGGCCTGATAAGCAGGAATCTATTTAGTTTAGAATTTTTAGAATCTCTTTAATGTGTAATATCCCTGGAGATACTAACACTAGTTACCAATACTAATCCTAACAAGCTATTTCCCAGATCTCTTCCCAAAGACCAATCTAAACTGCCCACACCCCTGGGCTGCTCTGTACCACTTACTGTTCAGGTTGTACTTGGAATTGAGATTCCTTTTAACATAATAAAGGATAGCAGGTACTTTCCAATTCATGTCAAACTGCACAGCTTCATGCTAAAGAAGAGAAAAAAACACTTATGGCTTATCTATATACTCCTTTTTTCCTTTTTCCCAAATCAGAGAGAGGAAAGGACTTAGGTGCTATTTTTAGCTCTGCTAACGCTTTATTCCTGGGGACACATTTCTCCCTCCTGAATCTGCCTGGCATTCCCTAGAGCTCTGAGGGTAAGGATGCTAGAAAAATGGAAGATGGAAGAACGAATGGAATGTGTTGCAACTAACCTTATCAATAGGTTCGATAAGGAAGTCATTGAAGAGATACCACTGCTGGTGAGTAACGCCCTGTGGAGGCAAAGAGAGAGACTGATCCCAGAGCGATGGCTCTACTGCTCTGGTTCAGACTCAAGGCAGGGACAGACCTGGGACTCCACTGTGGCCATCACCAGGAGTGTCCCCACCCTGTACCCCTCACTTACTTCCTTGCGCTGGTGGTAGGTCTCTCCAACTTTGATGTGAGCCACCAGGCTGCCTCCTGTGCGTGAGTCCAGGATGTGCACCACAGTAGCCATCAGGTCATACACACAGACACCGTGCTCCTCCTCTG